CAATGGTGTCTTTACAGGCCTCACTAAAAAATCTATTAGAAAGCTGCAGCTAATTCAGAACGCCACTGCTCGAGTCCTCACTAACACTAAGAAAGTGGATCACATCACTCCTGTTCTGAAGTCTTTACACTGGCTTCCTGTGTGTCAAAGAATAGATTTCAAAATATTGTTGCTGGTTTATAAAGCTTTGAATGGTTTAGGCCCAAAATACATGTCTGACCTACTGCTAAATTATGAACCATCCAGAACCCTCAGGTCTTCAGGGACTGGTCAACTTTCTGTCCCCAGAGTCAGAACTAAACATGGTAAAGCAGCATTCAGTTATTATGCTCCGAATATCTGGAACAAACTCCCAGAAACCTGCAGGTCCGCTGCAACTCTTACTACTTTTAAATCCAGGCTGAAGACTTTTCTTTTTGCCGCTGCTTTTAATTGAACTATTCACATCTTAAACTGCACTGTAACTTTTAACTTTTATCCATGTATTTTTTCTTTTAATGTTTATTTTATTATCTTTCCTTTTTAATGACTGATTTTAAAGGCCATTTTTAAAATGTCTTCCATTTTTGTAAAGCACTTTGAATTACCTTGTGTTGAAAGGTGCTATATAAATAAACTTGCCTTGCCTTGCCTTGCCTTGCCTACACATAATGTGTAGCAAGAGATGTCCTGTATGGGTTGATTGCGCGTTGATCTGTTGGTAATGCCTCGGGGGTCCGGTGGGCATGTAAACAAAATGCATAATGCTGTACTATACTTTGTGGCCTCACCCCGTTGCATAGTGACGCTTATTGTTTAGGTGTCTTTTAATAAGCAGGTAGTCATATCATTAGCTAGAACTAGCTAGATCTGATCGATATGGGTATAAACGCTAGTAAAGTCTAATCTGACAGGAGAGACCCGGTGCTGCTGACGAGCCGACATGCATCTCTGCATGCGGTGAGCGGAACAAAACACACTCTTCAGATATCACACGTAGCTATTTTAATTACCTCTCAAACTACCTAAACTATTTATAGATATGTTTAGTTTTACTGTCGGGTCACTCATTATCGCATCCGCGAGCTGCATGATACTGGCGTATGTCAGGAGAGGGGGAGAGCGCTCCGTTTATTATTCCCGTGTTATTGTAAATTACTGTACACGTTTGAATAGTTAATTGTCTACTATAATTAGTTGGTTTAATATCGAATCATATCAATTTGTTTCAAAAGCTCAATAAATAACATAGAAGACCTTTGACCGGCACTTTTCTAATTTTGTCCGTAAGATTTAAACTGTAACGGACCTGCTGACCGGACAGGAGGGGGGAGGAGGAGGGGGGTGGGTTGAGAGGGGTGGGGGCTGAGAGGGGTGGGGGCTGAGAGGGGTGGGGGCTGAGAGAGGTGGGGGCTGAGAGGGGTGGGGGCTGAGAGGGGTGGGGGCGACAGGGCGGATGTGACACCTGTATGTGATAACACCTCGAACAAAGGGGCTCATTAGCATATCAAAGGGGGCTCATTAGCATAATTAGGGGGCGGGACTTAGAAGGTGTGACCTGTCACTTTTCTATGCATACTAATGTGATTGAAACAGCATTGGTAATACTACTGTAGTTAAATCTGATTAAGGGTTTGCAGAAAAAACATCCTTTGTTTTTGCACCATTCAGATATGTGACTTTTCCCATTAACAATTTCTCTGATCTTCATTTTCCACATTCTTACCTGGCTGTCAAGAGCATCTGGAACAAAGTACGAGAAATGAAAGCTACCTAATTTAACGGCCAATATGTGTTGCAGCCCAGGGTATATAGAGAAGGAAGCCACACAGGATTATTCTCTGTCTAACAGCCCTCTTCTCCTCAAAAGCATTACATACTAAGGAGAAAAAGCCAGAGCTGTGAATCAATCCCTCCTTTTTACTACCTTCGCTTATCTGCCACCAACTCCCACCAGACCTGCTGGTTCACAGTACAAATTGCATGATTTCAAGTTGGCTGAAAATGAAGAAGTTCTTATTATCGCCGAACAGTTTCAGCTGTTGTTTTTAACAACTCAAACACCTTTCTGAAACATCTGTCTGCTATAGCTCTGAATGGACAGAAGGTCGTTTAAGGTTCATCGCACACCAACTGATGAGTGACGGACTTGTGAAAAGGAATTTGGTCCAGTTACAAGTCCTGCTTTGTTCCTCAGGAGGATTTGTTATATCAGTAAGACAGCTTGTTGCTAGCAGAAACATCCCTTCTGTTTACATTTACAATTTTGTCAGTAAGACTGAGCCGGGATTTCCTTGAAATGTCACAATGTCACAATGCCCTGTGCCCCCAAGTTTTATAAAAAATTCTACCAGCAGTATCTGAGCTGAACTTTAAACATGTAAAGGTGCTGTGAGGGTCAAGGCCTTTTGTAGAGGGCAATGTTAACCTTTATTTATTCCTCTACTACACACAGTATGGAAACTCATGGCACCAGCACTCAAAGTTTGACCGAAATTAGAACAATGTGGATGTCAAACAATGTCAAGTTCTGACATTTAATTACAGCTCTTCATTTTCCCATCACCAACCCACTCTTTAACCCGTTGCATCATCCCTCCAAGTTGTGTCTAAATCTGACTGGTAGGCTATATAAAGAAACAGGGCAACAAAAAAGAGCTCATGAGCGGAGGAGAAATGCCAGAGGATAAGATTGGTACACAAAGACATCTATTCACAAACATTCTGATGGTTGGTTGATTATTCTAAGACAACTAGATTAACCCAACACAGGGAAACACAGGACCAAAATAATTTCAGGTTTACTCTGACCCCTCTGGCAAAGTTTGACATTTGGTGTGTGTTTGTCGTTTGGTTTCTTGGCCTGCGTTTGTGTATCCAGTGTCTCTGCAGCATTTGTAAAGCACCTAAGAAATGTTTGCTTTGCTCTTGGAAAAAAGAGTCCAAGAATCTCTGTTTGGCCTCGACTGGAGCCGGTCCTTTGAGCAATTTTCAGAGTTTTTAAACAATTGTTGCTGAAGTATAAAATCACACCGATGTTTCTTTCAATATAAAATGTAATTAGTTCATTCCTGCCTAAGGCTGTTTCATATATTTTAGGGGGTTGGTCGGACCCTGTTAGCTCTGTCAGCTTTATTTGAGAGGTGCATCTTTCATGTGGAAAGGTGGTCTGTCGAAAGTGATTCCTGAAAGAGAATGCTGTGGGTATTTTGGCTATAATGTTAACGAAAAATGAATTAGGAGTGAAAACCTTAGAATTCTTGTCAATGACTTGATTTATTAATTTGAATATTTTTACAAACAAATGAGACATGGCAAAATGTATCAAAAGAAGAAGCTACAGGCTCTGCATTTTAAGCCAAACAGCCTTTGAACATGTACTATCTCCACATGCAGACATTCTGTTTGAAAAATATCTTTGCATGTATGAATGTAGGCGTTTGGGTGTATTTGCACAAAGAATATGCAGTGTCAGTCATGGAAAATGTCCATCTATAGTTTATGTTAACTTTATTATTATTAAAATATATTATATACATTTGGAAAATATGCCTAATTGCCTTCTTTATAAGGATGATGTAAACTTCAAAACAAGTCTTTTATCCGTCTGTTAAAAATGTAACTGCAACCAAGTTTCGCTTGGCAAAAAGTCTAGGAAAAGGGGGAGACACTAAGAGCTCACTAAAATGTTTTTGCTCATTTATTTAAAGAGTACAAAAGGTGAGGTAAAGTTATGTGATGAACTATTGTTCTTCAGGAGCAGTAACCCTAGTCTTGTCGTTACTGTTTCTTCTGTTTATTATACTCTTCATGTCCTTTTAACCAGAATTTTGTACAAAAATAAACAAGATATATCTTAATAAGCTTTAGGGATGTTTTAGGCAGATTTTGTAACATTTGGACAGAGCTCGGTTGACTGTTCTCTATAGTCTTTATGCTAAGCTAACATACTACTAGCGGTAGCTTCAAACAGACATTAGTGTGGTAAGTTAACCATCGTCTCATCAAACGTTCAACAAGCAACATATTGCTGAAAAGGTCAAACTATTCTTTAAGGTCTGGAACTGGTATTCTGTTCTGTTGTTGCTTGTCTGGTCTTCAACCTTCCAAAATGTTCCCACACCACGCCGCTCCTCCGCTCCCTTCACTGGCTTCCAGAATCCACTTCAAGACACTGGTACTTGCGTACCATGCTGCGAATGGATCTGGCCCTTCCTACATCCAGGACATGGTTAAACCATACACCCCAGCACGTGCACTCCGCTCGGCATCAGCCAAACGGCTCACTGCACCCTCACTGCGAGGGGGACCCAAGTTCCCATCAGCAAAAACACGTCGGTTTGCTATCCATGGCTTCAAAATGGTGGAATGATTCCCCATTGAAATCAGGACAGCAAAAAGCTTACACATCTTCCAGCGCAGACTGAAAACTCATCTCTTTCGACTCCACTTCGAGCAATACAATTAGGCCTACTAACAAAGCACTTATACTAACAAAGGACTGGCTTATCTAAAGCCAGTTGAGTAGCACTGGAAATGTTTTGACTCTATGAAACCTGATGTACTTCTATGATTCTGTTTTCTTCAAGTTTGTATCTTCTTGGTCGAATGCACTTATTGTAAGTCGCTTTGGATAAAAGCGTCAGCTAAATGTAATGTAAAATGTAATGTTGTAAATATTAAATACAATCTTATCTTATAACCAAGATATTCATCCATTCCTCACTAGCTCTGTTAGCGATGATACGTCCTCTCATAAATAATAACAAAAAAAACGTTCTCTGTAACTCACACAAAACAGACAGTAAACTTTAGTCTAATTCCTCACTGAGAAATTACGTCAAACAATCAAATTTAAAAAATAAATAGACCATGCTTATTAGTACAGATAGAAACAGATGTGACTTCATTAAATGCATCCTAATTAGCTCCACATTCTGTTGGATTAAAATCTGCCTCCCACTTAGCGTTACAGGCAGGACCCAGATGATACCTTAATGATTTTCTTTTGTTTTCCACAGCTGCGAAAGTAGAAGAAAAAGAGGAGGTGACAACCGTTTCCGGCAAAGTGGATGCGGATAAAGGAGATAAAAAGACCAAGGAGGGAAAGAAGGATGGCAAGGCTGCTAAAGGGGGGAAAGATGAAAAGGATCCGTCAACAAAGAAGGGTGAAAAAGGTGAAAAGGGAGAATCCAAGAAAGAAGCTGGTGATGGGAAAGGAAAGAAATCTGGAGAGAAGGGAGACAAAGGAGACAAAGGAGAAAAGGGAGGCAAAGGAGGAAAAGCAGGAGAAAAAGGAGGAAAAGCAGGGGCTAAAGGTGGAGCCAAAAAAGCTCAGAAGTGATCTCTGCCTTCACAGGACAGAAACGATTATTTCATATTTTTCACTTCACGCATTTTGCACACTTTTTTTTCTAAGACGACATTTGTATATTATATTTGAAATAAACAAAAATCTTATATATAAGAACATGCCTTGTTTGTCTACTTCAGAATAATGAAAGTTGCAGGAATCTCTGTACAGTACAATTACAGATGTATTATTTTATTCACAATTCACTGATGAACAATATAGAACAGAAAAACAAAATTTTACACTGATATATACAACGTGCCCAAATCACTACAGAGTGATGAAAAGGCGAAAATGCAAAACACTGCCCACATACTATATTTAAAGCATGAAGACCAATGTTGACTGCACTGAGTACATTTCGGCACGAGATAAATAAAAAAACAACCACACAATTTATATACTTCCTTGAGAGGTATCTTATAACAATGAAATACAACATTAGCTCTGTGATGATTGGCCTTATTGTACACTTGATTCCAAAACACAATCATTTTACATGATACAATCAGAACAAATTACTTTATTATAGAGTGTTAAAGTGCTCAAATATAATTATCCACATTTTTTTAAAGATTTATTTTTCCAATACCATCCACCTTTTCTATAAAAAACACGGTCTTACACAAAAGTTAGATAACGTTTACTTGTACGTACGTGGAAAGTCTGATTGAAATTGAACAATCGCCTTAATAAAATATTTTACAGCTGTATGGAAAAATTCAGAAAAGGTTTCCAGAATTGTCAGTTGTCAGCTAAAAGAAGTTAGTTAAATATGAAGGTCTCACTCCAGCCTTTCACTGCAGCCTCCTGCAATAATGACCAATCCCCATGGAAATGTTTAAGATCTAAAATCCGCTTCTTAGAATTCCACTGCTTATTATTGGTTCTTGTATATTCTTCTATATTGAGGTTACTGATATGTAGTTTCATTTTTTAAGTAATATAAAAAGCAGGGCTATTTAGCTTCAAGCTATCATTATTCAGGAATGTGTAAATAGTGCATTTGTGAGGGATTATTTTCAGCTGCCGATTGTTACTCATTTGTATGACTCATGTATGATGCAGAGGAATAGTTATATTAGACTTTCTGTGTGTCAGTTCTCTATTTGTTTTGGTATCTTTATGGGATTTGTTGAAATAAGGAAACAAAGGTGATAACCAGCCTTTTAAAAGTATTTTTTTTTAAAAGGGCGGTGGGAAAAGTTTGTAAAGATATCCGATTCATTTATTAAATACAAATTACTTTAATTTATATATATTTTTTGGATGCATTGCAACTCTGATGGATAGACTAGTATAGGCAGTAAGAGCTGGCCATGCTTTAACATTTTAAACCAGCCTCAAAGCACACCTCTTAATGGATCTAGCATCAGGTGGAACACAACTGAGAACACGATTCAGTCAGTGTGAAGTCATCAAAACAACAAATAAGCAGGAGGGACAGGAGAGCTTGAAGGTCATGACTATAGGATGTAAAAAAAATGCGAGAAAAAATGCGAGAAAAAATACTGCGTACAATATTAGCTTTGGTCACATAAAGTAAGTGATGTGAGGTAAAACTCTCACAACTCCATCAGACAGATAACCAAACAGTGATATATGACACTTGAGACGCAATTCCAAGTAGAGCAACACAACTGCATTAAATATGAATGATTGTGTAGTATTGTCTACGGAGTGTTTCTAATTGTTTTCTCATTTGTCTTAATGCTATTTACATTAGAATATTTTGAACGAAAACTCAATCTTTGTGGGGGCTATATTTCTGTATTTCTATCTACCTACCAGTAGCAAATCCTTTTTATGACAGAGGGTGGTTTTAAGACGTTTTGGTCAGTGTAAACAAGATGGATAATGAACAAACAAAGAAACACTTTAAAATAACCTTTCTCTGTCAGCGTTTCAGTCCTTTTCTCTTTGGTTTAACAGATAATGTTTTCTTAACCAGCATTTCATGCAGATTAAGTGCGATAAATTACAAATTATGGAGTTTAAAATGTCTTGCAGAATGCTTACTTTGTTTGAATGCCATTCGTCACCTGTAAATATATTCGTTTTGTTTAGAAATATATACATTATCTAATATTGCAAACATTCCGTAAACAAACATGATAAAAAAAACATTAAAACATATAGCTTTATAACAATACACATGAACACTATTAGCTCACAATTAGAATGCATTTCTGATCTTTGTAAACATTGTGACTTGTATATACTGTACACATCAAAAAGCAGCATACCACTGGACCATCTGTACAAATAACTGTGTGTTATTCATTTCTGGGTTTTCCTTCATTTCCACCAAAAATGTCACTCTTGGAATTCTTGTGGAATTTGAGATTTTCTTGGAATCCTCATTTAATTAACATTCCTCTGAAATATAGGACTGCTTCCTGCACCCTGTGTTTTTAAAGGGGGTCCTGTCTTTTGAAAACTGTGTGGGAACATATGATACCTTTTAATTACGTTTTTACCTCAACTAACTCTGTATCTGAGGCTAAGGAAAGAGACTGTCTTCAAAGAGATATTCTCACTGTGTGTGGCATCATGTTGTACGTTTGTGTGACGGAGGGGTAACCTTGTAGAAACTTTGAATATGAAACATTCATTTGAACTCGTCAAAATCTGTTGTACGTAGAGAGGTGAATACTGGGTTTTTCTAAACAACTGAAATCATAGAACATGTTAAATATATATTTAACAGCTTTATATAACACACCAACACCCCTGGAGAAATGCTGACCATGATAATACACCACTTTAAAAGTATAAAAATAGCTGAGCAACAAAAGAGGGCTTCAATTACCTGAGTACCTTCCCTTTTACACTGAAGTGGATTCATGTCTACGCACAACTAATGAGATACCATGCCATAAAGCGAGAAAAAATGCCTCAAAAAATAGTAGCATTAACATTTTTTAGCTCACCCTACACCTACTTAGTCTGATCACACTGATGTAATCATGCATGAATGTTTCACTAAGTACACTCAAAATCCACCTGGTTTTACACCGGTGGTTAAGGCTTTTCACTGTATTTAACCCCAGTTTGATGTATGCACAAAAAAATGAAACAGAAAACAAAAGAAAACTACAGTCATGGCAGTGAGAACGAAACAACAGTCTGTTTTCATCCTTCTACACATTCAATGTGGCAGGTGGTTGGCGACAGAGTTGAGTGTTTTTCCATCATCTCTCAAATGAAGGTGTCCCAGCACATAAAAGTGATACACCCTTATGCCTCGAACCTCATCTGTCGGGAACGTCCTGGCTTGATTCAAAGCAGAAAAAACTGTCAGTGTTGATGCACGCAGTTGTCCCCTTCAGACCCCCTGAGACTGATTTCATTTATTTTCTTCCAGTTTTCATCCCTACCAAAAGTGGCCTGGAGGTCACATGACTGTCTCCCTCTCCTCCTCCACCACAGGTGAGGGTTTCTCGTTCTCGCAGGGCCGAGTATGAGCCGAATGCTCCTCGTCAGGAATGTGAAGCTCCTGTCCTGACGAGGGTAAAGAGTTCTCAGAGACAGAGCCGTTCTTCACGTACCCAGGCAGGTTCCTGTGCCCGTTAACAGGCACCGGCCCCAGCCTGGTGGTGAGGTGAAGGGCCAGCGGTCCTCTGGCAGTGACGTTGGTAACACTGGTGTGTGACACCATCGGACCATAGCTGTACGTGTTGCTGCCGCTCCGAGCTTTCCTTTTGAAGTCCAGGGCCAGAGTCCTCCTGCTCCACGACTTTTTGATCTCAGCTTGCACCTGAGATCAGAAAGAAGTTACTCAGTCATGTAGGAGCTTAAAAATCATGCAGGAGCTCGTTGTGTAAGATGCCAAACTGAGTTCTTACCTCCCCATTGCAAAAGCAGTATATAATTGCTACTAGGAATCCCTGGAAAAGAGAAGAGAATGATTTCATGAATATACAGACTAGCCGTGTTTAACAACATGACATTTGAGCTGTATAATTTGATATTTTGCATGGTATTTCTAATCATAAGCCAAGCCATCCGTCTCTTCCTCTTTATCTAAATTGAGATCTAACCATAACCAAACATCTTAAAAGTAAGCAGTTATCTGACAGGGTTTGGTCATCTTTTAATGATAACGATGCATTAACCATTACCAAACATGATCAGATCACATTTGTTCAACTTGAAAGGATACATTCATATTTATTGGGACCCTTAGAGCTAAATTAACATTTTCTGAAATTTCAGAAACTTTACTTGGAAGGAGTTGAACAGCATCTCATAGTGCATCTGTATCAGCCAGGGAACTCCAGACACCTCTGTATACGGCATGGCATGGAATATGATGTAGTGGACACCGAAGAGAGGCATCAACACCATCGTGGACTTCAACAGTTTTCTGTAACAGTAAGAAAACAGACAAACTTAACAAAATACTACATAGTGTGCCAAACCATCTGCAGATTAAAGAGCTAAAACCTTAACAGAAAACAACAATTCTGAGTAGTTTAAAAGAAGGCTGATGCAAAAAGAATTCTGTTTGCAGCTCAAGTGTGCAAGACATAACCTTGAATATTGTGAAAGGCCTTTTCCACATTTAGCAACCATTTGAAGCCAAAATCAATTAAATGCAAGGAGTTCTGACTGACTAGTCGATAACAAATTCAACCTTACATTGGTTCAATTGTGAATAGGGCCTGATGCAGTAAGAGTAAATACATTCATGGTTTTATTACGCTGACAGTGATCCATACATCTGATGAATGAAGAGGAGCAGCCAGTCTATATATCTTGTCTCAGTACCTGTACTGTTGCCTGGTGTCACACCTGCCAGCATTTGTTTCTCGTAGTTTAGTTGCCAAGACTCTGATGATGTTCAGAAATAACATAAAATTGACCTGAAGAGAAAATAGGAACATAATGATATCAGTTAGTGTAGTTATAAACATAATGAGATGTTATCCAACAACTGTTATGCCACAGGTGCAGTTTACCACTGTTATTTACTGCTCAGCAGGCGAGAGGTGCAAGCAGTGAGCATGTACTTACCACTATAGCTGCCAGGATTGGCACTTGGTATATCCATTTCAAATTGCCTGCACTTAAGTCCCAACACCTGCAGTAGATAAACAACGTAAGGATCAGCAAAAGATGAGTAAGGATCTCGCTGCTAGCTGTGATGATCCAGGATCCCTCAGGTCCCCAGCGGTGTCTTTGATTATCACTGCCATCATTTCATAAAATCATAGGATTAAGACGGAGATTTACACACCATATTTGCTCTATCTTCCCCCATCTCTCAAATTGATTCGATATAAGTATCATATAAAACCACTGAGAAATGAACTTGATTAATTTCCTTCCTACTAAATTGATTCATAACCCCTGGGCTTCACATCAAGCCCCCTTATGTTTCAAAGGCTTTCGTACTTCTGAAAATGCTTTTTAGTATTCCTTTGAAATAGAAAACCTAAGGCTTCAGTTGGTATAAAATATTGTTAATTTTCCCTAAAGCTACCAAGTAGGGCACTGCCCTGTTTTTGAACCACATGATTTTCCTGTCCTTTTGAGGCAAATATCACAGAACTGGGTAAACATGTTGACAGTGGGTCAGTATTACCAGTGTGGTCCGCTGTAAATAGGTTTGATTTTCAGCCAAATGCTTATTACATCCCAAATAATTTACTACAGCTTTGGTTACTATCATGCTTAGTTTGTTTTCCTGCCCAAAATGCGTGGCAGGGAGCTGCTCTCCTGCTGAATGATAAGTGAAATATGTGCTGGACATCAGCCGGATACCAGCTTAGCCGTAAGCTCTCAGCTCCATGGTCCTTCATGTTTGACTGTGGTCCAGGACCAATGTGGAGACTACAGATAGTCAGTAAGAGGGGGGTCCACGGCCCTCAAAGTTGGTTTAAGGCAGTATTCTCTGAAGGTATTCTCTCCACTTTAATTCTTCACAGCTTTTAAACCTGTCCTCAAGCTTTACTACACAAGTATATGGTGTACTCGGTAATCAGAATCTGTGAAGAATGCGATATTTTTAGACTTGTTATCTTGAACCTTAGATATGCTGTTGTTACAGCCTTATGTGGATATGCAAATCTGTTGAAGGAGAATTTCCGCAGATCCCACATCTGATCAGCGAAGTAAAACTACTGAGGCGAAATGTAATTCTCTCTTTATTTAAATTTACCAAGAAAATATGTATTTATGTTTTTACAGATCACTTACTCTGTGTCTGCAAACGTGGCTCTCATAGTTGCCCAAACTGTCACAACCATAGCTGGTACTCCTGAGAAATACAATTAAACCAATTAAAGATGTTGTGATAAAATAGCCATTACTATAATATATATATATATATATATATATATATATATATAAAATAATCTCATAAATCTTTAAGATATCCATTATTTGTCAGTATTGGTAGAACCCGGGTAGCACAGCATCCACATTGTATGCGCTGTGCTTAAGTCACTTATACGCACAGTGTGTACAATGCAGGAACTGTAAAGCCCATATTCAGCCAGTGTGTTTACAGGCATGAGTCATTCTCTACTGTCCTGAGCTATATATATATATATATATATATATATAAAATGCAATATCAGGGATATGACAGCAGATTTCTCTCTCTCTCTCTTTTTTTAACATGATTAAATCAGACCATAACAACCTTACAAAATACTTAACATATTTAATGTTTTAATTAGCATTGGCAAGTCCACTAATCATATTGCAATCACATGCATGCGTATGTAAATGAAACATAACTCACCCCATCCAATCAGAGTAAATCCCCATAGATATTTTCTGTCTGAGAAGAAGGTCATAAAGATGAGGCTGTGGAGGTAAAGACCCTCCACAAGGATCCAGTAGTAATTGGTCGCCAGAAAGTACAAGAACAAGGTCACAACCACCTTGCAGCCGATCTATACACAAACAACAGAAAAGGAAAACGGATTTAATCAATACCCACACCGACAAAAAGTCCCACTTTTTGAACACTTTCCAGAAAACTGTAAGAGTCCATCAAAACAGACAGCTGCAGCTGACTGAATGCATGCTTTCGGAGACCCGCATTAGACCAAGAAAGACCATGAAAGTGGATCACATCTTTCCAGTTTTCAGATCCTTTAATTGGCTACCCGTGTGTCTAAGACTTGGTTTTAAAACACTTGAGAAAGAAAGAGGAAAAGTAAGCAAAACATCAGATTGATGGCGATAACTGAAGATGATCTACGGGACATTCCTGGGAGGCTGAAATGAGGTCAACAAACGAGTTTGTGAAGCTTCTTGTGTTGATGTATTCATTCATGTGTATCACCCCATACTTCAGCACTCAACACCTCCATCTTGGCTGGCTTCAACCTCCTCCCTGCTCAGATACGACATTGTATTAGCTAGAAACTATGGAGACATCACTTTGATGACATTGCTACAGATGAGATGCAGTTGGTGTTTGATGTCAGACAACATGATGCCATCTATAATCAGTATAGAAGGAAGACGTTTCTTTCTGAGAGCGAAGAGTCTATAATTATACTGATTTGCACGAAGAATTTACATAATTTAGATAGTGTTAGTGCTTGTGTTATTCACACCCTGTTATTTGTCTCTGACACAGTGTCTTGATTCATTATCTACACTTGTTGAAGCCCAAGCTTTATTCTAATGTTATTCTTTAAAAGTGCAATCACAAGTTAAATTGAAAAAAACATGTTTTTATAGATAAGTATATTTAAACTTCGCCTTTCATTTACAGCATTTTCTTGCTGATCATATTTGGTGGAACAAACAGGGTCTAGTCAAGTCAATTTGATCAATTCAGCTCTCTATCCTCCATCCCTCTGTAGTTAGCCCCTCAATGTGGGTTTATAAATATAAATAATGAATAAAACCTATTATGTTCTTGTTGCATTGACAGGAAGTCCCAGAAGCCTTTATTCATTTAGTCAGTCATCGATTCGGCTCCACTTAAAGTCAACCTCCACACTGTGGTCTAGCTTTGGTTGTTCATCAATGTGTATTCTAAAAAGCATTTCTGGGCTACAGCAGGGATTTAGCCATGGGGACTTTGGATATTTTAGTTTTCTACAAACATAATTTGTTCCTATTTCTTCAATACAACTGATTTTAAAAGCTTGAGTATAAGGTTCTTGTTACGGACTAAAAAGAATGCAGATGTTTAGGAGTCAGACAGTTTGATGATGAATGTTGATGAATATGTCAAAATCAGCAAATGAAATGTGCAAATGAAAGGTAAATTGAAACCTTTTAGCACTAAAACTATAGATCAACAGAGATATTTTTAATCGTATTAGTGTTGAACAATGGCCAATTTCTATTTTCATTATGCGGTTCTTTGCTACATACTTGATTCCTTAGATAGAGAGGAAGTTCCGAACCAAAACAAATATGTACTTGAAGATCAAATATGTATTAAGTGCCTTAACAATTAAACATTCCTCCTAAATAATAATGTAAAAGTGTTTCCAATTATAATAAAAATGCCTCTTTAATAAAAAACTCTAGCCAAAATAAAACTCTAGCCATTATTTAAGGCAAGAATAAACTCTTGCACAAATACAATCTGCACTGATGCACCTATAGGAGAAGAGCGATATCAATATTCCCTCCAAGTTTGCATATGCAGTAAAACACAATTTAGAGCCAGGAGGTGCCCACTAAATAAATGGCACAAATTGTTTGTTTGCGTTTTTAAGCATGCATGAAAAGTGCCCAGTCTTCACCCATTTTTGAAACCTGACTCTGAAAGGGAAAGCCAAGTACTGGCCTAGTAAAAGCTTGGCATGGTGACAAACCGTGCCGTTTATTTGCTCCAGCACTGGAAAGGCAGGTGAGACTTGCAAATTACAACTTCCTTTTTGGAAGCAAAATGTTAACGCCCAACTACACGATAAGTTAAATGATCTGTTCATGAAACACAATGAAACAAGGACTTCTGTTATGACTTTCATAAAAAACAGATAATCCTTCATTGGCCTAATGGCACACTGTACCTATATTAATACTGTATGTCACATTGAAAAAGTACCATTATGTGTCTTGTCGCTTGCTGTGGCATACACGTGATTTTCAGTGAGTGGTTTTCCCTCAATTTTTTCTCCGTTAAGGTCAGAGTGTGCTGTGCTGGTGTACTTACAAACTGTGTTTTGTTGGCTGGCGGAGCCTCAGTGATGGACTTGAGGTCTTCCACGGTGACTCTTTCCATGCTCTCTACGGCTGATCCAGAGTAGAGCACAACATCTTTCACAAAAATACTGATAGCTCTTAGCATGTAGGACACAAATAGGTGCATGTGGATGTAGTTCCTGGTGCAGTGCAATCGTCTAGGGAGAAAACAAACAAGAGCGGCAAGGTCAAAAGAGAGACCTTTGGACAATTGTGTGTGTGTGTGTGCGTGCGTGCGTGCGTGCGTGCGTGCGTGCGTGTGTGTGTGTGTGTGTGTGTGTGGGTGGGCTGGCACAACTTCATGTAATTGTGTGTAAGTACTTTCACACACACACACTGCAACAATACTCATCCTAATTAGAGCCAGCTGAGTTCCACGCTGACTATAACACATTCTTGAGATTTAGGGGCTTGAGACGCACAAATATTGAATTGCTCCGCTCAAAGGGAGCTGTAAAAACAAAATTGCAAGCATGTGTTGAGAAAAGCATGCAAATTTGCTTCCAGACAATCACGAGTTTATCTGTCAAAAGTTCATCCAAAACATCCTGTCTGAGCATTTACTGTGGAGCGGGCCTTTGGGGGGATGCTCCAGCATTTGAATATGCTATAAAAATACAATAAAAACTAATAATACAACTGAATGTTCATAACGTTTGAATTCATTCTAAAAGCCAACGTGAACAATACTGCTTATAGGAGAAAAAAAATCTATTCGTTATTAGCTATTTTTCTTCTAAAGCCTCATTAATGAGCTGAATATTTGGCAAGCTATCCTTAGAGAGATATTGATTTAAGGGGCAAACTAATCTAGCGCACATTTCCCTAGTGAAAAATTCTGAACACAACTGCTAATGTCAAATATCCCTTTTTTCTCCCTGGAAAACATTTACGAGCTCTCCTGTCTAAAAGCTGAGATGTTGAAGGGGAGACATGGCTGGAGTGCTCCGGAGCACAGAGCCAGAATGTCAGAAGGGCCCATGGGATAACTTATTAAACTAATTTGGCCCATAGATTTCCTGGTGCCAGTTGGGAGCGTTCCTAAAGCCGTCTGACTGCCTGCCTGTATGGTAAATCACGCTGGTGGGAACATTGGTAAACAGCGCCTTCACATCGATTCCTGATACTCCCCATGCTTAACATATAAGCAAATAAGGACAAATGTGCCCTGCATTAATTAGCTGGGGGAAAAAAACAACTGTTGCCTCAAAAATTAAATGAATTCAACCTTGTTTTAGGGTTTTTCTTTAATGATCAAATATATATTTAACATTCCTACAGTAGGAGAAGCAAAGCTGTTCAAATGCAATAGCTTAGAATTTCCCTCTCAATTATTCACATTTTTAAGCACTTCCCAATTTTCTTTATTTGTGGGAGTAGAGGGAAAGGATAAAGGCAAAAGGCTTGAGACCTGTAATCTTTGCAAGCATATCGGATGAACAGAATCAATATCAAAGCTTTGGTTGTTGTTCATTGAGTCTTGAAATCAGCATGAAAATAACAAAGAACTTAAATGTCACAGACATGCGCTCCTGCAAGCCTGAAGGCAGATTCTTCCTCAAAGGTGGATATATCATAGTCTGTTAAAACTCAAAGTAAAGACCAAAGGTAATGTTTGATTCAGTTTGCATGCTTTGTGTTTTTGCCGTGACACACTCCATCGCATGCTTATAAAGGCGGTGGCATATCGCATGATTTCATGACAAAGCCATTCAGCCATTAATCCATTAAGCCATCACACAATTAAAATGCTTTCTGTTTCCTATGTTTGCGACGTATAACATGGTAAGACATTTTCATTGTGCCATCATGCTGGTAAACCTTTACACTCTGTTTCGATCCCTGCTGCAATGGCTCTACACTTATTTGTTCCTAAATCCCTCTCTTGTGAGCCTCTGGGGTTGAAAGGATTAATTGGAAAATGTTCACTGCATCGACTCACCGAAAATATCCCAAGATGACGACAGCAACCATGAGTGATCCCAGAGAGATGGAGTACCCGACTGTGTAGATGAGATACAGACGATGAAAGACCTCCTGTTGAAAGAGCATTGTTTGTTACAATATCAACAGGCTTCAAAATGGATAACAATAATGAGACAGGACTACAGCACATCCTTCCTTAGTGCATTCATTGTAGTGCCTATTCAAATTAAATACCTGCAGTTTGTGTCAAAGAACTCGAAAACAAACTAGAAAATGTATGAATAGTAACAATTGCCTTAGTAAATAGGACATGTCGACAATAGAAAGTAAATAGATCAAAACAAATCTTGTGTACGCTTGTACTTAATTACGATTTATTGTTTGCTCATCTGCTAACGAAATGTTCAATATGCCGCAGTTACCGCAATGTAATGTCATTTAATGCTGCTTTCATGAAAAAAAAATTCCAACGGTTGGAAAATAACATGCATACTCAAAGGGGTTTTATTCCGTTTTACGGAAGCAGAAACATTGAATAACTAGTTAACATATTTGTTTGTTGAATGTTTTTAGTTATACTTGATTTAAGCCACTGCAGCATCAGTTTATTCTAAGTGCTTCGTAACATTACTATCAGGTACATTATTATTGACTACCTTACTTAAGTTATTTTATTAGAAAGAGCATGTGTTTACAACATTCGCCCTATATTGGAATATCTTCCCTTTGAATATGCCATTGCCACCTGGTGACAGAAATGTCTCAAACACTCAGACATTTCTGATGGAAAACAGCATTTGACATGGGTGGCGGGGCTGAGAAAGGCTGGGTGGGGCGGTTTCATCTTCAGTCGTGAGCTGGCAGCCAGAAGAGAGCCACTAACCAGTCCTTCTGTGCGTCAACATGCTGAGAAGGGGGTTAAGAGCCCCGTGTGACGTAACCAGATACTGCACTGCTGTTATCATTTAGCATCAGGGTCCTGTGCCAGAAAAACGAAGTTGTGTCTAAGTTGTGGTGGTGGTCTGCGGCATGGCAGTTGAGCTGTGTGGGGCTTTCATTTGTGCATATGTATTTGTCATTAACTGCTGCAACCGCTCCCTCGGGATCCCATCAACATAAACATGTGAAGTCATAGAGAAACTGAAGGGCGCCATGATGAGGTTGTGCCCACATCCTCGACACCACATTCACACAGCCGAGAGGAAAATGTATGTGGAACATACAGCTGATGATTTTACCAACCCATGGCACAAATGTGTAAAAAAAGTAATTCAACGTTTCTAAAAATGAGTAACTGAGTCCTCCTTTTCTCTTTGTCCCCTATTAGCCAAGTGCAAAACATTTTGTAACCACTAGCAACACTGCAGAGCCACTAAACACCAACCTCTAATTTGGTAATAATACACCTAATTCATTAAAAGGCTATTGAAGGCTTTATATTCAAGACTGTACAAAAAATGTTTTGAGACCATAAAGAAAATACAATAAAAACTCCTTTAAAAGCCATGTCAGCATCATTAGGTACTGTGCACAATGCATTTTTTACTGATACACATTTGTCCATATATAACCAATAAGAGCTGAGTTAGTTCTATTTTGACCATTTATAGCCTTACAGCAGTTTTCCACCCTACTTACAATACCCAGTAGTCCTATTCACTGCCAGTGTTATGTACTGACATCCAACCTTTACACAGTGATAGAGAAAGAAACAAAGCTGCGGTCAGGGTCACCTTTGTCAGTCACATGGAGGACGGAGGAGCAGGAGGTTGCCTTGCCTGCTTTACAAAAAATGTCTCTACAAGCGCTGTGGTGTGATGGTGATGTCAGTGCTCTTGGTATTTATGATCCCAGGTTTGACTCTCGCATGCAGACTCCGTTGGATTTTATGTTACCGATAGTTTAGCCTAATTATAAGGTTTAGGAACGCTGTGTTAGTGGTTTAATATAAACAAGACACAATAGTGATGTCATGATTAGAAATTGTAAAAGTGGTATGATGGTTGTTATCTGGGATAATGGTAAGACACAGTGATATGGCCTTCAATATTCTGTGTTATTTGTATCCCCATTGATGCTAATATATGATGTTATGTAAGTGTATTTAAAGTTGTTGCAAATGTTTGCTTGTGTGAAATGTACAACTATTGTATTGCATACTGATATTACACAACAACTACTGTGTAATAGTACTGTGTGCATATACATCTGTGACAACAATAAATATAGAGTGAGGGTTTCAACTACTACTGATGTAGGCTATTCTCCTAAACTGTTGGTACTTATACCTAGGAAAAGTAATGCACTATAACTTGTATATGACGCAAGTAATCAGTTAACATACATTCCATTAAATTGTGAGACAGGATTGGTAATGTATGATAAAACAGTTGTGCGTCAGTCCTACTGCTAGGTAGGTGAGGGTTGATGGATCCAAAATCATAATATTTTCCCCTATAGGAGAACACTGTTTGTGTCCCGTGTGAAACAAGAAATCACTGTTGATTTATTTGTTACATCTGTACTTAATGAAGACAACTTGCATATTTATTTGAACCCAAAGCACCATATTTTCGGTATCCTATCTAAGTGGTTTGTTGCCTTGTTTTGCTGGACATTCAAAAATAACAACATAACTCTTGTTGTATAAGGATACATTGACTGATGAGGCAGGCATGGAACAATGATCATCCCCATGTCAGCTTTGCTCTTCAATCATCATCAATCATAACAACAGCAAACGACAATAAAAAAATACAATTAAATCACAAAACTAGCCTGGGACTTTTCAAGCAAGTAGCCGAAAACACAAAACACACACAGTTTCTGTTGTGCTTCTTCTGTAGCTATTTTTGATTGTTTATGTATAATGATAATGCAATGACAAAAGTGTACCTCCATGTTCAACCCAATGTTTCAATGTGACAATGTTTTTTCAAAGTGAGGTTCATAAAAAAAAGGGGTAACAGACCTAGTTTGGTAGCAGAGTGCTGATCTGAACCCCATCAAACACCTTGAGGACACCTGGGACGAGGTTAGGCACCCAGCTGTGAGACGGGTCTTATCACCAATCACTGGAACCTGGCTGCAGAGATTTGCTCCCATTCAGCCTGGTTTCAAAATGTGGGTGTAATGTTTAGCTGTGCGCATACTTATGATAATTCAGGGCATAACTAATTTACAAGATTTGAGTTCATTCATGAAAAACAACAAACACAACTGAGATAACTGGTAGCCTCAAATGGCTACTGTGGGACACTTCTTTTTTAAAGTTTGATTACTTCAATACCAGGAAAGCAGCATGACTCTAGTACATGGAGTCATTTTGGTTTTCATCTATTTTATCCCTGTGTAGGCTGCCGTGAAGTTGTCTATGAGGTTTAGTCATTATTGGTGACTTCTTAGACTTCTTTGAAATTGAATGCTTTTTGAGAAGTTTTGCAATTAGCAATTAAGTCAGTGTAGCAATCCCTTTAGTTTATACTGACATTTAGCTGATTGAAGTCTCATATTATCAAAAAGCAACCACATTGGCATACTGTCATTATCTTCCCGTCATTATCTCTACATTTCACTCAATAAGACTCAATTTCATTTGCACTGTACATTACTTAGCAGGCATGCTGACAATGTGCTACACATTTAAAAGGGGTTGTAATTGCAGGGTAAAACGGTGCAACAAATGCCTAGAAGGCTGAAATATATAAAGCATTACAATTAACTTGATGCATTATTCTGGAGGAAGACACTGTAACTGTGACCATGAGCATGGAAATGGCGATGAGACGGACCTTACCCTTTCATGGCTAGGGTTGTAATGGAGGAGGAATTTTGAACATTCGTTATAATTGGCCCACGTCTTGTTGGCTGTGGCCAGTTCCCACGTTCCGTTGTTGTCACACCGACGGTATGCCAGTCCTAGACACCAAACAGAAAAGGCTATTTTTAATTACAGATTTTGCCACTTGTTTTTCAACACAAGCAATTACTCATCCAGCTTAATTGGACCTGAATAATTGTTGAACTTGAGAAAGAGGTTAGGAAGCCAAGTTATGATTACAGTACGTTAGCATCATCCGGGGCCTGGTGCTCTTTGAGCAGCTGGAAAAAAGCATTACGGTTTCAGCTGTGTCCAGGGCTAGCGCTCACCTTTATGGTTGAAGTCATGGATATACTCCGGACAGGTGGTTGATACAAGCTTTCCCGGAGGCCCTCCAGGCCAACAAACAATGCCGTCCCATTCTGGTGAGCAGTAACTTTCTGTGGAGACAAAAGCATTACTGACTTTTAAATCTAGAACCACAGAGGGTTGTTCTCCCTCTGCTCCAGCATTACATGTCTGTAGGCATTTACAAGAGAAGAAGTGCAGCATGTTGCCAAGGGTCATGTTGTCCTTTGAAAAGTAGGCCAGGTATGAACTTTACACAGTATGTAAATCAGCACTGTTAAACAGTCTTGTAATGTGTGGTGAGTCTTTGTTGTGTTTAAAGAAAGCCTTGGTTATGGGGAAAACAAACACCCAATCATTTCTCATACAATTCAGATTAGCAAAAATTCTAATTTCCCACATGCAGATAACAAGTTGTCCATTGAATCTGGTTTGTTGATTAAGGCTTGTTTGTGAGTTGCAGCATATTTAATGAATGTTTTTGTCTTGATAGCATCATATTGTTTTTTTGCTGTATGGTATTCATTTCAGATTGGATCTAATTAAAAAAATATTTCCTTCCATACTGCATTGTAGTACTCTGAGTATCTTATTATGGCGAAATACTAATGAGTGGTGGTTGTATGCTTCCGTCAACAAGTCATGATGCAGTTTACATCAACTTCTTTCCAAAATGTCATCACTATTTTATTAGACATGTGTAAAACTATCATAATAAGCATATGAATTTTTTTGTTTTTTGTTGCCAAAACCCTGTTTCGTTAGATCGCAGTGATCTTGGCTTTTGACCACCTTAACCCAATAAAATCATCCCTGACTCCAAGCTGACATTTATTTGTCACCATCCACAAACATATAATCGCCGGTTACAAAGGCATAATAAAAGCTATGTTGAATGTTCTTGATATAGAAATATAAAAATATTGGAAAGTTTCCCTTCTGTCTCATTAGTTTGGTATTGACAAGCACCAATGAGGCATGCTAGTGAACATATTTGATTTTAATATAGATTTTCTTCTCTTCAAGTTATATTCAAAATATGAATATTTGCCGATCTCGTGGCTGACCAAGAGTCCAAAACTTTAATATAATCCATTATTTATTATTTACGAGACGCTGGAAACAAGGGGTTTGCCATTTTGCCTGGTTTACTAACTGTAACATTCAATTAGTTTTTGTTGCCAATTATTTTATTAATCAACTTACTAATGGATCATTTTTTAATCTTTCAATTTAATTATCACGGCTCCCTGGAGGTCGAGGTGTAATTTTTTTTCATATCTCGACTGTCACTATTTAATAAAGATATTCTATTTTGGCAGTATTAATAATAATCAAAAATCGAAAATGATCATATATCTTGTGGAATACCTCATCCCTCTCCTCGTTTTGGTCCTTAATGAACAGACATTATGAGTCAAAACATCTAAAAAAAAGTAAAAAAAACATCCATAACCATTTCACATAGTTGTGCTTTTAAATACAGGATTGGCTGATCAGATGAAAGATTCAATTAAAGATTCACATTTGTGAATGAGGAATATGTGAAAAGTTGTGCAGGAAGCTTCAAGATTGTTTACTCTGTGCTTTTCCTGAAGATCACCAAATCTCTTTCATCAATTTTCATGAAGAATGTACAACATGAGACTTTGTAATAACATATGTCTACTTAGTTCAGACAAAGAGTTGCATGTTCAAAGGGAGGAAAAATGCCATTTCCGACCGTAGAGGCCCCTAATTGTCCGCTAAACCGTGGACCTCAGCACTTGATAGTGGGAGCAAAGTCCCTTTCCACACAGATTCCTGGCAAAAGCCTCCCTGATGGCTTGGCATCCATATTGTATTATTGAAAACATCTGCCCAACTTTGACCACTAATAAGTAGTTAAGGATAAAACTAAAACTATCCTCTCTCTGCAGTAGATCCATTATTTTCTCATTCCTATAATCAAACTATAAAAAAAAGAAACATCTGAAGCCATGACGACATGCTTTTTATTTGCCTGTCACTTGGAGCGCAAAATTAAAGAGCTGACTGATTCCTACAGATCTCTGGTGGTTGAAAAACAGAGTTTAGTTTTGAAAATCACGCAGACCACACATCCTGGGAGTAAAAGTAAAATTGCTTTTCATTTTTTGCCATAGGTTTCATTACCATAGGACCACCTACTAACAGGCTCAAATTAAACACAGAACACACGCACATATATAATTTCCCGTTCATTTCTTGACCACGATTTAAATATAAACCTGACTACGGAGGGACTTTGGTAATAGTGATGTCACTGGGGTTTTAATACGGTTTTCTTTCCCCCAGACTCATTGGTTTCTAACCGGCAGATGTCAAAACACATATTGCATTTTCTCATGATACATACATGCAACCTTTTATAATGATCGCTGATGTTATTCTACACGCAAACCACAAGCTTGAAGGCTGAGCTATTTTCACACTGCAAGGTCTGGGGCATTGCACCCACATCCCTCCACTGTCCTCTCCAAGTAAACCTCAGTGTTTCCCTCAATGAAAACCTTGTCTTTGCCACGCAATGGAGATTTTGTGTGTTTAAAGCAAAATTGAGAAACAAAAACAAATAGATAAAATGCTGAAATCGAACCAAAACTATGGTTTTAGCCTCCCACATGATCATTTGTTTTCTCTGGACCTAGACTTGCACAATCAATTAATTACAGAGCAAAACCTACATTTCAGACCAAGCGTTTCTACAACAGTCCTCACTCCACATCTCCTATAATAGAACACCACATGTTTATACAGTGCCAGAAGAAAAACAAACAGATGGGGGTGGTCATGCTGGACACAGGCAAGACAAATACTGAAGTAAAGCAAAAACGTCCCAAAAAATGCAATTTAGCTGCTATTCTCCGAGCTACCTCATCCCAAAGATGGTCACACCAAAATACAAGCGGAAAGAAAATGTTTGGAAAATCACAAGAGGGAATTCTGGCAAAGTCCTAATGACCACTTCAAGGAAAACACTTACATGGGTCACCAGAAAGCACAATAAATGCTTTCCTTGAACTGAATCTTAAATCTCGCAGCCTCCTAAATTATACATTACTCAGATTTAAAATTATTTCCACATAAAATAGTTACAAACAAAAAACCAAATGAGACTCTTAAGTTAAATTCAAGGTGAAATGATGTCAAAGCAAGCCAAGTTCAGTAAAAAAGAAAATCAATTCAAGCATGTTAACAAGCACATATTGCTTATCAAGGCATACAACAACCACATCAGGGACTCTTTTTTTCTTAAGGTATGTTTATTTTAATTGATTGAACAATGTGCAATTTTCCGAAAGAGGTCAAAAAACAGCCCCCACATACAGGATGAGTCATATCCAGAGTGTTTGCCCGCAGCATCAGGTATGCAGATCAGCTACTGTGTGATGTGCTAATGTACCCTGAAACTTCACCTCAAGCACTTCACAGATAGCAGAAGGACCTTTCTGATTCAGTGTTAATATCACAGTATGTACAGACACATTGCCACAAAAGGATGTCAAGTTTATATAGGGCTGATATTCGCTTGTATTTATATTATTGATTAATAATCTTTTTTTTTTTTACTGATTTATCAACGATAATTTAATATGTAAAAGGTCAAATAAGTTGTGTAGGTGTTGCTTCGGGACTGATACAACTTATTATTTTTTTGTAATAATTAAAAACTGAGCACATACTGTAGGCCTACTCACTTTGAGAAGCTGTTCATACCATTTAGCATTAAACCCTATTAAAAACGTGTTTTATAAATTATTTTAAAAGTTTTGAAATTAATAAATGTATTAACTTATTGTCCAAGATACACTGCAAAAAATAAAGGGCAATTACATCTCAATTAACAATTAAAGGACTATATTGTAATGTTAGCAAAAATACTCCCTTTCGTTTTAACAGTGAAGATTGGTCAGTGTAGTAAATATGAAACTTCCACTAGCAGTAAGCTAGCCGAGCTTAGCATGCATTCTTAACAACCTTTAGCAAGGAAGATTCTGCTACTGGGCAAGAAATATCCAGCACATAAAACCCTGTTGTTTGCACAATTCAGATTCAAACAACTTGATATTGTAACCTGTGATGCCCCTGTGGGATCGTCAGTGGAGAGGGTGTGGCTGTGCTGTCTGTGCTGCGTTGGCTGCACTGATTGCAGTGATTCAGGGCACCTGGGTCGGGTGCTCTGCAGCTACTTAAAGCCTCTCTGCTCCTCTCTGCTTTCTGTTACAGGCACCCGGTTCGGTTGAGTATGTCATTAGTTATTTCTATGAGGGGCCGTACAGGCCGTAATTCATACTGGTCCTCTCACGCACATACATTCTCCTTTTACATACATATATTTTCACTCTTACACACATATATTCTCCTTTTACATACATACATTTTCACTCTTACACACGTACATTCTCCTTTTAGTGGCGAGCCGTCAGGGCCCTCTAGGCCCTCTGTGAGGGCCTAAGATATTCCAAAAAATAATATTTAAAAACATTAAAAAAATATATATTTTTTTAAAATATATATTTTTTTAATATTATTTTTGTTATATTTTTCATTAGTTTTACCGAAAAAAAACTTGATTTAATAAAATAACATTTCCAAAGAAATAAATCCTTCGAATCTGCCTGTTCAGTCTCTGTTTGAATGTCAGTTACTATAGCGGGCCTCTCTGCGATTCACAGAGGGCCCGCTATAGTAACTGAACGAGAGAGTAATGTCAAATGACAGTACAATTGACCAATCATATCTTCCCTCTAAATGGGTGGGTTTTATTATCGCGGACTTTATGACGAGTTCCGCCCGCTGTGAAACTTTTCTTGTTTCCATAGCAACAACAACTTCCTGTCAACAGCGTGAACTCGCCTTCAAAATAAAAGCATGCCAAATTACACTTAAGACATACAACTGCAATGAAAGTAACAAACACAATGCAATATCATTTTCAATGTCAAAGAACACAAATTGGGTTCACAGGTGTTGTTTTGTGTGGTAGAGGGTCGCTGTCATTGATGCGTTTTGCACCCTGGGCCGTTGTTTTGACGTAATAACGTAATAACGTCTTTTTTTCGAAGGAAGG